GATTAAAATACATACAGCTGAACTGTTTGTGCCTGAACCTAGTTTAGATGAAGTTGAAGTAGCCATTGGGAAGTTGAAAAGTTATAAATCTCCAGGTTTTGATCAGATTCCAGCAGAATTAATTAAAACAGGTGGTCAAGGGTTGCATATGAGGATCCATAAGCTTATTCAGTTAATTTGGGGTAAGGAAGAGATGCCACAACAATGGAAGAAATCCATAATTATTTCTATTCATAAGAAGGGGGACAAGACTTAGTGTGGTAATTACCGTGGAATTTCACTGCTATCAACCTCATACAGAATTCTATCAAACATTCTTTCGCCAAGAATAACCCCATATGCGAAAGAAATAATTAGGGATCATCAATGTGGGTTCAGACGTAACACTTCAACAATTGATCAGATCTTTTGCTTCCGTCAGATACTAGAGAAAAAATGGGAGTTGTTTTGTATGGGTGCGAAACATAGTCTCTCACTCAGAGGGAGGAACACAGATTGCAGGTGTTTGAGAAAAGGGTGTTGAGGAGGATATTTGGTTCTAAGAGGGAAGACGATGGGGAGTGGAGAAAACTGCATAATGATGAGCTTAAAAATCTGTACTCCTCCCCCAGTATTGTCAGGGTGATTAAGTCGAGAAGAATGAGATGGGCTGGGCATGTAGCGCGTATTGACGGGACAAGAGGTGTGCACCGGGTACTGGTTGGGAAACCTGAAGGGAAGAGACCGCTTGGGAGACCTAGACGTAGATGAAAGGATAATATGAAGTGGGATCTATGGGAGATAGGAGTTGAAGGAACCTGGATTTTGTTGGCCTAGGCAGAGTCCGGTGGAGGGTTTTATTTAATTCGGTGATGAACCTTCAGGTTCGGTAAGCCATCTAGTTAGTTAGTTCTTCGCAACTACCACATGTAACTGGAGTCTGTCTCCTACAACCTCAACATGAGGTCGCTCTATGCAGGCTGACAAGAGACCCATATTCATGAATTCAGACAGTATTAATTTTTCTCAATCTTTTGTGAATTATATGTGAGGTTATGATTGCTACACTGCTGCATCATTTCTGAATTACAGTTCTGAAGTGTAGACTCTTGGTGGATTTCTGTAGTATCTGGAACGAGGACTATGATAATAGCATCAAATAAGCCACGATAAATTACGTAGTCTATCATGCATTTCATTCGAAGCTATATTTGAAGTCCAGTAATAATGATAATGCATAAATACAGTGTCCCTAAGGTGTGTACATATTATTTTACAGAATGTTAACCCTGTGTGTACATCTCTTAGGAATATCTCTGTAAGCTTGTATACACACATACATCATGAATACATTCCTACGCACATGTGTACACAAAGTCATAAGCCTACAAATTTCATTAGTAAATTAAATTTAAATATTTTATATCATGACATGTTATCTTCTGAAATACAAACGGGAATTTCGGAGTATAATTTTCTATTGTCGTGGTGAATAATTTGATGTTCCGGAATAATTTTACACTTGATTACAAGAAAAACTCTTTGATATTTTTAGAAATTTAGGGGAGCCCAGGGCAGAACGGGACCTCGGGGCAGAACATGTTATCGGATTTATTTCGTCTGCAGTGCGTTGCGATCTATCGGAACTGGGTGAAATACCATTAGCAAACAGCACCGGGTCATGTCTTGTCAGTCAGCGACATTTTGTGTTTACAATTTCTGAGATAATCACCCATGCTAGATTTTACTCCTACAATTTAGAAACTTTTCTCAAATTCCAGTGAAGGTAAGACCCATTCATTATTCATATCCTCTTTGTTGAATGATGCATGTAACAAGATGTTTTCTTGAATGTCTTAAAAAGATATTTTTATTTATTTTCATTATGTCATTTTTGGTGGGACAATCCTAATTTGAAAGAGTATACTGGGGGCAGGATGGGGTAGGGCAGAATGGGGTATCCAGAGAAGAGGATCAAGATGTCGAGTGCCAGTATTTTGGCGATGTCTATTTGCAGTCTATTGAAGGGTGGATCGGTTATTCGTCTTGCTTGAATTGGCTTATAACGCATGTTCAGGTGTTGATAGTGACAGTGATGAAGAAGTGCACATGTGTTAGGCCTAAGAATATTTCAAGTGTGTAAAGTTTCGACAGTTTACATTGTATACTATATTAATTTTATACCTTACGTCATAATTCTTAGATAATCTGTGTCTTCTTACAACATTTCAAACGGGGTACGGGACAAAATGAAGCAAGTTACATTTTTGAAACGAGATTAATATTTAAAATAACTGTAACACTTACAACGAAACTAATAACTCATTATAAAGTTCATATAGACTATAAATCCACACAAAGTTCCTCCATATGCCTCCAAAGATTAAGTTCCCCGTTTTATCCTGATCTCCCCTGAGTGTAATATTTTAGCGCTCAGCAGATGGTAAGATAAAGCGATTAAATTTAAGCTATTAGCAGGCTTTCAGAACAATAGTTCATGTGTTCGCACAGAGCAAAGATAAAACAATTTTCTTATTACATAAGCCTTATTAATTTAAATTGTCTTTAGTGCAGAAGGAGCTAAACACAAGAGAGGTTAAAACAATGCCTTTCTACTGAAAATAAAGCAGTTAGTGTTTGTCGCAATGTCTCAAATATGTCCAGAAAATGGAGGCATGCATTTCTTAAGACATAGTAAACTTACTGCCATTACTTCAACACATGCAGTGTACTTACAACAATTCACACTTACAGATAAACATTACTTCAACCAAATGAAACCAATTTTACGAGCAATGAAGTATAGCGGGATACTTCCTATTACCATACCAAAGTCAGGTAAGTGATACTTGTGTAATTCTAAATCATTATTGTGTAAGAAAAGCTGTACTTACACATATATTTCGCTACAATTTATTATGTTTTCAGAGGAGTAAGAATAATCGAACCCGGGCCTGGACGTCGTGCATGTATCAATGTTAGTAGTTCGAATGCGATCGAAAGTCACACGATTTGGGTTAAATATTTTTTGATGGTTGCATTCAAATACAATTCGATTAAAATAATAAACATATAATGTCGCCGTGACTATGGAGTAGTCCTCGCAGATCACGTCATATTGTAACTTGCTCGAACCTGTCAATCAGTTGTTTTCCAAAGGTCGAAATTCAAGGATGAATTTTTGACAGGAGCAATGACTGTTCAATGTCGAACAATACGTGGCTTCTCGTTCCTACTAAACTTTCCAGAATGAGTTTAGGAATACATTTTCGTGTGCTCCTGTACCAAACAAATCGACATATCTCGTCTGGTAAAACGTTTTCGTAACTGCAGAAGCTCTTCACCGGTTTGCATCAAACATGAGGAAAATAGTGAAAGCATGCTTCACTGAATGTGGTGGATTTTCGCCGTACAATTTAACATTGTCTTTGTTTTCTGATTTCAGTGTTATATGTCTATATTTATTACAAATACAACACTTGTCAGGAATGTTTTGCGTGCCTTTTCAAGCACTCTGTAGCTGTGCTAGTTTTGGAACTATTCTGTTCTAATATTCAATTTTTATTGATTTATTGCGTGCTTTTCCTTCAACAACCGCAGGTACACCAACATTTCGCGTGTTGTCTTTGGTCATGGCCTACTCAGTGTGCATTCATATTTGGGTATTAATAATGGCGTACTTTAACGCTTGTGACATCCTGTTGAAATTACTTGAGAGGAGAGGCGACTTCCTTACACACATCTTCAGTGCTCTGTATATGAATGCACTGGTTTTCTCCGGATGTCTGCCTGTTCTTATGTGGCTTGACTGCCATAAATTTGTTACGTATATGGACGAATGGATTCGGTTTCAGGTAACTTACACTTACGTTAGTCTAATTATTCTAAAAGCATAATTTTCATGACAATTACAATTAAAAAACCAATAATGATAAGAGGTGAGATTACGTAGGATACCTAAAATATAGAAATCAGAATAACAAACTGGATGAAAAATCAAGTTATATGGAAGTGTGGAGTGGATGCATCTATCTCAGGATAGAGACCGGTGGCGGACTGTTTTGAGCACGTAACGAAACTTGGAGTTTCATTTAAGACAGGGAATTTCTTAGCCATCTGGGTTTCTCAATTTAAAATATCCTCGTTTGTGTTAGTTATGTAAAAATGTCAGTCAAAACGACTTTTCGAACTCTAATGCTCTTTAACATGTCACAAAAAGCCAGCTACTGGACCCGGTCTTATGGAGATGAATCCGGTACACACGCAATTTCCATAACCTTCATCTTAATTTCATTTCCCATTTACGTTTAGATGTACCAAGTGTTCTCTTTGTCCAGGATTCTCCAACAAAATTTTGACTGATATAATCTTGGAAAGTCGACTCAGCCAAAGATACCAAAACGCGATACGAAATCGCAGATACATGGCGGCCCAAATTTTAATTCTTGGCGTGCAAAACATGGACTGACACAGAATCAATGTATGTTGCAGGTCCTGTTTCTGAGAGTTACTGGAGATGATCTGAGTCTTTCGCTAAAGAGACAGTGTTTTGTTTACTCTTTATATGTGTCCTTCATGACGGTTGTGGCATTGGGATTAAACATCCACGAGCAATATTTCCCTCTGTGGAGAATGCCCATCTTCTATATAATGTTGCTGCAGCTGAACTTATTATCCACGTTCCGGGGTGTGACATTCAGTGCCCTTAAAATTACCAGCTGCACTCTTGCCAGACGATTTAAGGTAATTGGTACAACAACAGTATTGTTATCATTACGTGTTGAACGTCCAAGCAGAGTATGAGATTTCACGTTCTCACAGCGGTGAAGATGTTGATATATATAGTATATTTTTGAGGTTGTGATACCATTTGATCTTTTATATGGTTACCAATATTTCGGCATGACAACCCGGAGTACATCGATCGATATTCTGGAATTAATATCCGTAACTAGTCGATCTTTATGAACGTATTAGAAATTACCGACATAATGGAATTTAAAATTCCATTTTAGTCACATAAAAACCTTTTTTTTAGTCATTTGGGTGTGGTTCAACGTTTCAGATTAGCAGCCATCACAAGCGTTAACTTCTCATCTTTGCCGCATTTTGAATTGAATTAATAAGCCTTGTAAATAGTTGTTTTGAAAACCAAGCAGATATATTAAACATGATTTGTTATATTAATCCTTGAGGGGGCTGTTTTCAAGACCTAACAATTTAAGTAACACTAATTTATTTCTATATAAATATATATTTTACTTCAGGAAACAAAGACGCTCATGAAGTATGATATTGCAAATACAATTCTTTGTCTAGAATTAGATTCAAAGACGCGACCTTATGTAAGAATACCGTTATCAACGTGGCACCGAAAATCAAAAGAAATTCTTGATTCCCTCACATTTACAACATACGCCGATGAAGCAAAAATAATAGTGGCAATGTTGAAGATAACACTCGAAACTACATTCAGTTCGTTAACAAACGTTACTGGACTGCGGATGTTTCATAAGGTATAAATACACTATCTATTTCGAATATGACGTCCACGTATTTTAGTATCCATTTTTAATTGCTTTTCGTATTAATTTCATAACATAATTCTGTCGTCCAAGAAATACGACTGCAAAGCTTGAAGAAATATTTGAGAGGGGACTAGACATGCAGGGTGAGAACAAAAGAACATTACATTTCCAAAATATTACTGAAAAATTGGGGCTTACCTAGAACTTCACACCAATCGATAGAGAAAACTCACAGTTTTGTTTCAAATGACCCGAGTGACTGTTGTGTTGCGCGTCTCCGCTAGATTCCACTAGTTTTGAAAATGGCTACCCCACAATAGAGGGGTCGTTGCGCCCATCAGTTTGATAGAAGTTTACCGAATTGTCCAGAAGACAGCCATCTCCACACGGTATAAATTCCAGTCCAAAATATAATAAATGTTGAAAAGATTATTTACTCACATTTAAAAACAATAATTATGATCAGAATGTTTACGCCTTTGATTTATTGCAAATGATTGTTTATGTTCCTTATAAAGAGCTTCTCTTTTAATGGACCAACAGTAGCCAGCCATTATGTACAGATCCCATTGTCCTTGATATCTTCTTTTCATCTCCTTTGCATCTTGATGAAATTTCTCACCCTGCTCCTTACTTACTCCTACATTTTCGGGGATGTAATCAGGACAAAAGTGAAAGAAATGCAATTTCAAACTAATGTTACATTCAAGTGTCTCCAGCTTTTTAAACATAATTCCCAAAATTTTATCATACTGTGGGTCTTTTACTTTTCCGAAGAAAACATCTCAACATCGTCCTTGATTGCATTCCATGCCTGAAGTTTCGTGTCACTCATGGTATCGGTAAATGTGGTATCCTTCATAAGTTGCTGAATTTGTGGTTCACTTAAGCCTCGGAAAAATCTGCAAATTTACGGCCTATGTATTGGAAACATGAACCACTTTTGTCCAGCGCTTTTATAAATTGCTTCATAATACCGAGTTTAATATGGAAAGGAGGCTGTGTAACGTTCTGCAGATCAACTAAACTGACATGTACAATAATTATCGTTCCTGGTATTAAATTTTCCCTTTTAGACTACTCTTTAGTTGTCCAATGTTTGTACTCGCTATTCTATTACAGTCGCATAAGAAACACGGAAATCTGTTATTGCCTTCCTGTTGGCCCAATAAGACCCAGGATGCCTTTAGATCACCACATAAAGACCACTAATGATCTTGGTATTTAATTTTTATAACACTGTTTTTAAGTTTTCATACGTCTCTTTGAGTTGTATTGAATGTGCGACTGTT